GGAAGGGACAGCAGGCAGTGTCCATGCCCTCAGCATTTCTTCTGAAACCACAGACACACCCACCATCCCCACAGCCAGGGCTTTGGCTTCTGAGTGGTCAGGTGGCCCTAGGACTGTCAGTATCCCCAGTGTCACAGGAGTAAAAGCCACATCTCTTACTACCTCAGTTTCACAGGAGACCCACACGCATCTCTCCACAGCGAGTAAGGAGAACAAGGAAACCTTGAATGCATCAATGGCTCTACCTGAGACCTCTGGTCTTAGAAGAGAGAACAGTTTGGCTACGACCTCTGTCCTCACGCCAGGTTTTATCACTGCTGACAGCAAGGTGACAAGTTCAACTCAAGTCTTTTCATCTGACCTACTGAAGAAGCTCAGAAACACACACAGCACTTCTGCAAGGCACAGCACCAACACAGTTGCCCCCGAGAGCTTTGTCCTTTCCAGGACCCCGCTTTCTACCACTCCAATAGCAGTGTCATGGACCAGTGTAGAAACAGTTCAACACTACACTGAATCCCAGCAAACACAGTGGACAGACACAGGTACTGGAACAGAGACAGTAAAAATCCCAGCATTGACCAGTGTGCCAGCCTTTACCACCCTTTCTACTTACATCGCGGAGATCCCTGGATTCAACACTCCAGAAACTGTGTTTAGTAAAGGAACTTCACAGAGAGAAACATCTACAGACACACTCAACATAAAAGCCACAACTGGCCCAGAATCTGGTCAGCTTACTCTCCCCACTGGGATCTCAGTGACAAAAAGTAGCAGCAGATGGAGTGGCTGGAGCACAGCCCACATACCTACAGGAACCACAGTTTCCTCTGAGATAGACACTGATTTGCATCTGACCATGAAACCTGACCTAATCACCACCTCTCCAGTGGAGACCAGATTAGCTTCTAGTCCAAATGCTCTCAGAGAGAGACACCCATCATTTCAGATAGATTCTTTGACCTATCCTGTGACATCACCTAGAGAGATCGCAAATTCCAGGGAACAGAAAGGCTCAAGACTGATATCAAGGCATGTGGGACATGACATCTCCTCTCCTGAATCCGCCTCTGCAGGAGACATCATGGAAATCACCAGTGTCCCTCCGTTGCCATCGGCCTCAACACTTGGTGACAAAGTGTCAGGGTTCAGCACGTTCTCAGTCCGGACAGTCACCTCCTCCATGACCACGGAGACCCATAAGGCCACAGAAAGAACAGAGCCCAACTCGGCTGTCTCTCTGTCCACGACACTAAGCCCTGCAGCGACAAGTGCTGATAGAGTCAGAAGTACCCGTTCCTCTCTGGCCGTTTCGTCTCCCTCAGGGGCAGGGACAGCAGGCAGTATCCACACCCTCAGCGCTTCCTCCGAAGCCACAGGCACGCTCACCATCCCCACAGCCGGGACTTTAGCTTCTGAATGGCCAGGTGGTCCTGGCACCTTCGGTACCACCAGCACTTCAAGAGTGAAAGCCACATCCCCTTCAGACTCACA